CCCCCCTCCCCTCCCATCCTCTACGGCTACCACATATCCGTTGATCGGTGTGGTGTGGCCTCGCACCGGCCAACATGCCAACCTGCCAAATGGCGCCAAGTGACTTCCCCTGGCCGACACGGCCGACACGACCATCGCGCCACAACACCCAACTCGACTTTGCTCCATACAGAGGGAAACGGGGCGGGAGAGCAACCTTGGGGGGGGGAGGAGAGGACCAAGGGATCAACCCAACGTGTGTGGTTTTTGTCTGCGTCCGTCTCCGTGTCTGTGCCTGTGTCTGGCTGCGCCCGTGGCGTGTATGATGTATGGTCGTGCGTCTCGGCGACAGAGACGGAAGAATCGAAGTGACATGGATGCGAGCGTGGCTAAAGCGAATGCGGCGCAACTGAGACGTCGTCGACTGCTTCAGCTGGATACAGAGATCCGCAACTCACTGCAACGGAATCATCTCTCGCTACTTGTGGCTCGCTTTCAAGCTGCCGATGCTGACAAGTCCAACGGGCTGGACATTGATGAGTTTGTGGCTGCCTTTACGGACGTACTCGGTCCGGGTCTTGGGCACAGTGGGAGGGGCGGCAATCTGGGTGGCGACCGAGGTCATCACCTCCATCAAGGGCAGAGTAAGGCAACCGCTGCCGCGTACGCACGAGATCTCTTCCATCGCATCGACGCCAATCTGGACGGCGTCATCTCGCTGGCAGAGTTTGTCGAGTTCTCGCTGTATCAGACCCGTGGCCAGATGTGGAACCCCAGCGCAGACAACGCTGAGGGGAAGAGGAGCAGGGCCAGCCCTCGTGCAGAAGCGCTCTCGTCGCTTCGTGCTCCGCAGTCTTCGGTTGTGCGTGGAACGGTGGCCCACATTGCACCAACTCGCCGGACCGTCAAACGCAGGGTCCGTCGTCGCAAGCTCTCCGATGAGGCCGAGCGGGCCATTGCTGCCACACGCGCCTCGCGTGCCAAGCGACACCGTGCTAGGAAGCAGAAGCTCTTGACCACTGTGTCCAAGGTGTACGCCCCGGGCGCGGTGTCGTCGTCGGGCTCGGGCAGCGACATTGATGTCGTCGATGCCGCCAACAAGCGCATCGCCCGCCTCCTGTTTGGTCGATCAGCCTTGGACCCGGGCTCATGCTCAGACTCGAGATCCGGGTCAGCCAGCGCCGAATCGTACGTCTACTCGTACTCGTACTCGTCTGACGACGATGGCGGCGGCGGCGGCGGCGGCAGTGATGGTGGCAATGAGATGCGAGCAGGCCCACCTGATCCGCTCGACGATGATGCCCTAGTCGAGCTCTTTGCTGACCTTGCCTCGGTCGAGTTTGAGTGCACCTCCAAGTCCGCACCAGGCACGACGCAGAGGTCAACACCGCACCGGGCGCCGATAGTTGCCATCGAGTACCTCACTGACTTTAACGAGGTCCTCACCATCGGCCGCGACGGCATCATGGTGGTGTGGGCATACCCGGACGCCGGGCGGTCGCGGCGGGTCTCTTGCGTTGTGCGGCACAAGGTCGGCCGCATCCACTGGACGCCCGCCATGGGCTCGGTGAATGCCGGTGATGAACTGGCCAAGCTGGCGCGCGAGCGAGCACGGGCAGTCCATGGCTTTGACGCTCATGCTCTCTCGTCCAAGCCGCGGGCGCAGGCTTGGATCAACGATGTGGTCATGATGCCTGATCTCGGGCTGATGGCGCTTGCCTCGGACGATTTTCGCGTCTACTTTTACCGCATCATTGGCGTCCATTCCGTCACTGACATTGTTCTTGCTTACAAGATCAACATTGGCGGGTGGCGCGGCGGCGTCGATGATCCCATGTCGGTCATGGAGCATGTGCCGCTCGCGCTTGCCTACTCGCGAGTCGACGACGACGCGCGGGTCCTTCTCATCGCCGACTCGGGTGGCTGGCTCTCGGGCTACACATTTTCTCGCCATGAGTACAAAGCCTCGACCAAGGGTCTTGCCCACGTCCTCAACTCGCACAACATTGTCGCCAAGCGGGTGTCGACTACCCGCACTCGGGTTGCCATGCTCCCGGCATACCTCAAGGGCCATGAGAGTGCCTGCGCCGGGCCGATGCCGTTTGACAACTGGGTGCGCAAGCTCGCCTACTTTCCGGAGCTCCGCGTCTTTGCTGCCTGTTACGAGGTCTCGCACCATGCGCTGGTCGTCGGTACACTGGAGACCGGCGAGCGGACCGCGCTCGACGAGGGCCCGGCACTCCGGGTCTGGCGCTGCCCGCCCCACGGCATCACTACCTTTGCTGCGTGCTCCACTATTGACGCCCACTACATTGCCACCGGCGGGCGTGGCGGCATGATTCGGCTGTGGAAGCCGACTGTCGTCGCCGATCCGTACGCCGTCTTTGATGCCCACACCGCCCCGATTGTCTCGCTGCAAGTCGCTGACATGCCGCACCGTCTCTTCTCCGCCGCCCGCAACGGCCATGTCAAGCTTTGGGACATTCGCGCTCGAGTCTGCCTTTTCACTGTCCACGATCCGCTCCTTGCCGCACCGGCGCCGGCTCTCTCGGCCATGCGGTACGAGCCGCGCCGCGAGAACCTCTTTCTCGCCTCGGCGCTACTCACCAGCTGGCGCAACACAACGCCACGAGCGGCGGTGTCGGGCGCGGCACGCGCCCGTGCGGCCGGCATTGACCCCGCCTCACGCCGCAAGCTCCCGCCACCGCGCATTCCACCGACGCACCCGGACGGGACACTGGCCGGTGTGGTCTACGAGCCGTTCTTTGGCCGCGCCGTGAGCGTGGCGGCGTCAGGCCTGGTCTCGGTGTGGGACCTCGCGTCCGGCCGCCTTGTCTCCCAGTTTCACGTCGGCGCTGCCGACCACTGGGCCGAGCCCGAGCCACACATCTCGACGGTGGCGCTTGCTGGGCGACGGCTGTTGACGGCGACCCGATCGGGCGTTGTCCACGTGTGGAACTACGTCAACGGCCAGTGGCTCAAGACGCTGCGCAAGCATGACAACGTCGAGCTCACTGCCCTCGTCCACATGCACATCCCTCAGGCGGTGATGGCCGGCAGCCGGCGTCCGTCGCGCAGAGCCGGCGGCTCTGGCATTGTTGCAGACACCGCATCCGGTGCCTCACCCGACGACAAGCTTTACATTGTCGGGACGGGCTGGAATCGGCGGATCGAAGTGTGGAAGGATGCCGCGATCTCGGTGTGCAACTTGGTCTGGGCGGAGATGCCGCCTTCGGCCGGTGCCGCATCGGCGGAGGCCAAGCGCAAAGCCGACCAGGTTGCTGCGCTTGAGGCCTTTTTCGTGGCCGACCGCCACATCAAGCTCCCCGCCCCGCCAGATACAAGTCGCTCGCGGCCGTCTCCGCGGGCTGGTCGTCTCGTGACCACCAGCTTGGGCGGGCAAGCCGTGCCGCCGTCCGACAGCCATTCTGACGACGTCCTTGCGCTCGACGTCTGCCTCCCCAACCTCATCGCCACGGGTGCGTACGACGGGTACATCATGGTTTGGCACGTCCACTCCCACCAGCTCCTGGCGCGGATCCGCGCTCCGGAACACGATGCGGCGGCGGCGGCTGTGGAGAACTCGCCCGATCCGACCGCCATGTGCGAGCTGATGGAGTCCATGGCGCAGCACGCGCTCTCTTTTGTCCGCCCACCGAGCAAGTACTCGCGCGTCCTCGCAGGTGCCATGCTTGCGTCTGGCGGCGCCGACGGAGTGCTAAGGATTTGGCAGTTTGATGCCTCGCGCCGGGCCGAGGTCGTCGCCGCAGAGCCGTCGCCGGTGCCTGGCCAGTGCATCAAGACCATCACCCGGGCCGGGCCGTCGGCAAGCCTCTTGCTCGTCGGCGACACCCTCGGCCGTGTTCGGGTGTACGGCCTGCGGGTCCGCCGCGCCGCAACAGGCCTGTTGCTGCACGACAGCTGCCAAGCGAGCACGGCCAGCATCGAAGACCTCGTCTACGTCGCGTCTGAGGAGCATCCCACTCACACAACCGCGGTACTCGTCGGCTCAAGCGACGGGCGGGTTGGCGTTTTCCAGCTCCGCAAGGCCGTCTTTGGTCCGCAGCGGAGCAAACCAAGCTACGTCCTCGAACGCATCGGGGTGTTTGGTCAGACCACCATGTGGGGCTGTGACAACTCGGCGGCTTTGACAACGGCCTCGCTCTTCTCGTCGTCTACGCTGCAGCACCACGGGCGGACGCTGCGGTACCGCGACCACGCCGAGATGGATGTGGAGCGACTGGCAAAGATGCCCAACGTCATCCTGCGCGCCCAGCGCGAGTACGAGGCCTCGCTCCGTCTGGCGCACGGCCTCGACGCCGAAGCTCCTTTGCCGGACCACTTGCTTGCCCGAGGCTCGGTTGTTGCGCGTGCCTACGCGCGGCGTGAAGGCGACGGCAAGTCGGCGCTGGCCATGAGCGCCCTCGGCGCTGGAGTCGTTGCCGCCGCGCCGGACACCAACCACCTGCTGGCGGCGACGCACACGTCCAAGTGGAAAAGGCGAAAGCGCGGAACCGCCATCGCGCCCGAAGAGCAGCTCTTTCAGCTCATGCCTGTCGACGGCGACTTTGATGGTAGCAGCTCGTCCAGCGGCGAGAGCGAGGCCGTCGCTCCTGACCATGGCTGCCGCGTCGCTGGCCATGACGGCGCTCGTGGGAGCGGACACAGCGACGAGAACACGCTCGGGTTTACCTGGATCGAGGAGGGCAAGTCCGACAAGGCGATCCGGGCCGAAAAGGCCGCCATGTACCGGGTGCTTGACGACGCCGAGATCCGCAGCAGCACACGAGTCCTCAAGTGCACGCTCAAGTTTGGCGAGTTGCCGCGGGCGTCGTCGTCGAGCAACGTCGACTCGCCGCTGTTTGTGGAGACCGATGCGCGGGCGCTGTCGAACCCGCAACTCGACCTGGTGGGCATCGAGGCGAGCGCCGCCGAGGTAGCAGCGACCCGGCGGCGGGCGATGGTGGCGGCGCGGGCGGCCGCGGCGGCGATTGATCCGTACCAAGTCGCACTGGCCTCGTCGGAGGAGACCAAGGCCGCCTTTGCCTTTGCCCCGCCCTCGTCGCTCGCCACCGGACACACCTCATCGATCCGGCCGCGATACACCTGTGTGCTTCACGACGAATACCAAGGCATCCATCCAGCGCACGACGTGGTGTACGGCGGCGAGGTGGACGACGCTGGCGCCGACGCTGGATCATATGTGTGGGGCGCAGGACAGCATTCGCCTAAAAGTGTCCTTCTCCTGGCCGGTGGCCTCGTTGATCGAGTCGCGGGTGTAGACCCAGACCGAATGGAGATGATCCTTCTCGATAGTCACAACCGGGTCCCAGTTGGGCATCTTGAACCGGCAGGCAATGACCTGGGCGTTGTCGGCAAGTTCGGCCTTGAGCTTGGACTCCATCTGGGCCAGCATCTCGGCAACGCCAAAGACGACGATGGCGTCAAAGCCAGAGAGGTCGGTCTTCCACAGATCAGCCTTGCGGAACGTCGTCTGCGCCCACACGCCCTCGCGCCACGCTCGCCACCGCGAGTACAGCACCAGCCAGTAGTTGATCTCGTACCCGGTCGCCATCGCCCCACGCTTGGCAGCCGCAATGACCACCCGCCCGTCGCCCGAACCCAGATCAACCACCCGCGCGCCCTTGTCCAGCCGCGGGATCTGATCCAGCACCATCCGAACCTGTGTCGGAGCTGCTGGCACATACGGAATAGTAAACTTGCGAAAGACCGGCGTGAGAAACGGCGCGGCGAGCGCAGCCATAACCCCAGTCACCGCAGCACACCCGAGCAGAACCTTGCCGGTCTTCCCCAGACCCCATCCAGCGCCGGACTCGCCACCGATTTCATCATCGACCTGTCTCATACCTTGCCCATGCCCACCCTGCCCGCTGTCTGCAGCTATCGCGCTTGCGCTATCGCCCAGCTCGACAGTGGCTCTCTCGATCGCGCCCGCAGTGGCCGAGCCGTGGCCGTCTGCGGATCCCGCGGCGTCGACCGAGTTGAGCACGCCCCCACAACAGGAGGGGAGGGCATGACTTCAGAGACGGATGCCGCCACAAGGTGACGGGTAGAGGGAGTGGAAATGGGCCGGGGGGCGTCGGCATCCAGGTGGTGGTGAACATGGTGGCAGAGTCGTGGCGAGACAAGTGGCCGTCGCCGTCACCGTGGCCGTGGCAGTCGCCGTCGCCGTCGCAATGGCTGTGGCCGTCTGCCAAACAAGCGGATGACGAGCGGCTGTCTCTGTTTGCTTTGAGAAGGGCTACGGTCCGAGAACACAGAACCCGTCGATGGGCGACTCGCTGATGAGCTTGGCCTTGGGCTCATCGGGATCGAGCAGGTCACAGCCAGTGATGAGGAGCTCGGCGAGGGCAGGGTGGCCGGCGAGGGCGAGCAGACCATCGCCGGTGATGGCGGTCCGCGAGAGATCGAGCGTGCGCAGTGCAGTGCAGCTGCGAGCGAGATCAGCTAGCGGCGTGTCAGTGACAAAGCAGTCAGCGAGCCGGAGCCGCTCAAGCAGGTGGCAGGATCCGGCGACGGCATCGACAACCTCGTCGGTGAGCGCCGGACACTTGGAGACATCGAGCTCGACGAGGCCCGGCGACGCCGCGACAAGCGCCACGACCGCGTCGTCGGTCGCAGCAGTGCACCCGACAATGGTCAGCGACCTCAGTTTGCTCACTTCGCGGGCAAGCGCGGCGAGGCCCTCGGGCCCGATCTGGCACTCGGCTATCGAGACCGAGGCCAGGTCTGGGCAGCCGGCGGCCACCGCGGCGAGGCCGGCGTCGGTCGCGCCTTCGCACCTCTGGACGTCCAGATGCTGTAGCCGCGGCGCCGCCGAGCCTAACGCACATAGCGTCGCGTCGCCGACCCGCGTGCAGCCCGGGATGTGGAGCGAGGTCAGCTTGGGGCTGGCACGGACGAGCGCGGAAAGGCCGTCGTCGGTCACTCCCGGGCACCATCGGAGCGAGAGCTGCGCCAGCGCCTTGGTCTTGCCGGCCAACGAGGCCAGGCCGGCATCGGTCAGATGGCGCAGGCCAGAGAGATCTAGCGCCGTCAGTCGAGGGCAGTCAGCCGCCAGCGCTGCAGGGGTGGCGTCGGTGAGGCGGACGCAGCCGTCGAGGACCAGCTCGCCCAAACGCGGCGTGTACGACTTGAGCGCGGTGGCGACAGCATCGGATATCTTACGGCAACCGTGGAGATCGAGCTTGGTGAGTGACCCGGCGGCGCGAATGACGTTGCATACGCTCTCGTCCGACACGCTCGCGCAGCCACGGAGAACAAGGCGACGGAGACGGACAGCGCCGCGAGCAGCGAGCGCCGAGAGGCCAGAGTCTGTGATGTTGCGGCATGCGGTAAGATCAAGAGCCGTGAGGTTGGGAAAGGCGTCAACAACGTCAATGAGGCCCGCATCGGTGATCTTGGTGCAGCCAGCGAGCGAGAGTGATGTCAGCTTGTCCGGCTTTGGCTCCCAGCTGACCAGCGAGGAGATGCCCTTGTCGGTGACCCGCGATGCCCAAGCGATGGAGAGCTCAGAGAGGACAGGAAGCGGTGCACGAGCAAGGAGATTAAGACCGACATCAGAGACCTTGCTCCCTTCGACATGCAGAGAGTGAAGCTTCCAGAACGTGCTTCCATCGCCTTCCATCGCCGCCTCACGTGCCAGACGAGCAACCGTTGCAAGTGACGTGTCCGTCACCGCCAGCGTGTTCACCAGCGCCACCTTGTCCGGATACTTTCCCAACAATCCCGCCACATCATCATCAGACACTTGTCGCCCACGAAGCGAAGCCACTGGTCTCTCAGCTGCCATCCCTGTGCTCTCCCGCCTGGTCGTGGGCCAGAGAGGAGTGCAAAGATGGGTAGATGGCGACAATTTGAGTGGAGTCTTGGTAAGGGAGGGGGGGTGGAAGAGGGCTAGGTGTCAATATTTCTTTTTTTTACGGGGGGGGGTGGGGGGTGGGGGAGGGGGGGGGGGACTTGAGCTGGGACGCCGGTTTGGACTCGCTGCTGGCGTGGGCAGAAGAGTGAACATTGTGAGAGGAGCACGTTCTCGTTGGAGGAGCGGTAGGCGTTGGCTTGTTCAGCTGGCATTGAGCTAGAGGGAGGAGAGTGAGTTGCTGCTTGGGTATGAGGAATGGTACGGTGGCAACATAAATATTTTTCATCACCCCACCCCCCCCACCCCCCATCACCTCCCTCCTCGGCTCGGTTCCCGCGCCAACCCGCGCCTCCTCCCCAACCCCGCCAGCAGGAGGGAGCAAGAAGCCACCAGGTTTATACACGCCACCTCTCTCGCACGTCGACCATGGCAGACGACGGCGTAGGCGGGGTACGTCCACTCTCCCACCCCTCATATGCACCTGGCTCCCCCCCCCCCCCCCCCCCCCTTAGCCTTCTCCTTACCACCTTCGGCCTCCCCCGGCACACTCCCCCCCGCCGGGCGAGACAGGCCAAACACTGCAGCCGATGACGACATGAATGAAAGGCGGTGTGCTCTCAGTCAAGCCGATTGGGTTGCTGGATGGAGTGCACGAGATGGAGTGCAGGTGATGGATGGATGGCATGGTGGCGGCAGGGCGTGGAGGGTGTGCGACTCACATGGCAAATGCGGGCGGACAGGACGATGCGTATGTGCGTATGGACCGGCTGCTGGACAAGCTGCATGCGCTCGAGTACTATCCGCGGTTTGCAGTGCCGCGATCGCGTGGGCTGGTGCCGAGGCTGTACTTTACGGCCAAAGCTGGGACAGCGGGCGAGCAGTTCTCGTACTTTGCCGCCCTTGCAGCGTGGCTGGCCGGCGAGGCAGGCGGCTCGATGAACGAGCCGGACGAGTTTGCCGATCCCAACGTGGTGGCGTCCAACGTGGTCGTTGCTGCGGGAAATCTGGGCGTCAAGGTCTCGGTGGCGCCTGGCAAGTTGCTAGCCGGCCACGGTAAGGGCGTGCTGGAAGTGCTGGAGGGCCTGGCCGACGCAGCGCTCAAGGCGCGCGGCTTTGACTATATTGCGCCGCACTTTCCAGCCGAGGACGCGGCCGAGGAAGCCGAGGTTGCCGACGACATGGAAGTTGTGGCCGACGACGCGCTCCTCGACGACGTCTCGGCCGAGTCGGACGACGAGGTCGGGTACCTGGAGGGCCGACTCGGCGGGGCCGCCGGCGTGGCGACAACCGACGCCAGCGCGGCTGCGCAGGCCCAAGCCGAGGCCGACGCTGCAGCGTGGAAGCAAGAAGTCAACCGGCTTGGCCCGCGGCTCAAGCTTGTGGTCGCCGCCGAGTCGAACGAGTGGCGCTCGCACCTCGACGCTATGCGGAGCAACCGGGCCAAGGTCGGCAAGATCACCGAGTCGACGTGCGGCTCGCTGACCCGGTTGGCGGCAGACATCAACGCCCTACTGGAGAAGATTGCCTCGCGCGAGCAGTACATCAACTCGCAGCTCGAGGACCTGCTCGCAGAGTATGCGCAGGTCTCGGCGACCGAGTCGGAGACGGCCGACCGCTACAAGCACGCCTCCGAGGAGGTGGCCAACCTCACTGCCCAGCTCCGCGACCTCACCCACGAACTCGACGAGCTTCGCTCGCGCATGGACTCGCGGACCGGCTCGATGGCCGATGCCTCGCCCATCGTCACCATCAAGGAGACTCTAGCCGGCCTCCAGGCCGAGATCAAGGAGATGGAGGTTCGTATCGGCGTCGTCCAGGCCCTTCTCCTCCAACACCAGCTCAAGGCACGCTCCGAGAACGCAATTCTTCGCTCTGACCAGAACCGACGGACGTAGCGGCCGTATCAGCAGCAAACATATACCCACCGCACCGCACGCAGCTGGCCGTGACAACCCGCCGCACCGCACGCAGCTGGCCGTGACAACCCGCCGCACCGACAGCACCGACCGCCACCTCACCCCCCCCCCCCC